CCCCAGAATTCGCCAGCCAGCCTTTCCCCATGCTGGCTGGCGAATTCTGGGGGTTGAAGTCCACTCATCTTAAAGTGGCCAAGTTTGGACAACACTGGTCTATATCTTCTTACTATACCTGGTCATTACTGTTATTCATTCCAATAGCTTATTTTATCCAGCCTGTCTTCATACAATATGCTAAGCCTGTGGAATGTGTTTATGGCTCAGTGTATTGTACAAATTCACCCAGTGTGTTTCCTGTTCAGTTCAGTCTGTTGCAGAAATCCAAACAAAGTTAATTCAGTAAACCAAGATTAAAAGTACCCAAACTTCATGTGTTTTATGAGTACAAATATTTACATTTATTTTGTGTCACAATAGAAAGAAATGAGTGCCAAAAATACAAGCATGCTTTTGTTAAGAGTAATCCTTATTGGCCAAATTATAAGCAATTTTGTGCACTCAAGTTTAATATATGTTAACATGTATACAGTAAATATATTAGGGTAAAGGCTGCATATATAAATTTCACTGAATTCAACACAAATTTACAGAAGACATGTTCTGCATATGCATTCTAAAACACATATTTGGCTGTACAATTTTAGAAGTGTAGCACTTTTTATCCTAATAATGATGAAACCCATTCATCTCCTCTGTCCACACAAGACTGCGGATCAGGGGTAACATCCATAACGGCACGATACGCCCCGAAAACCACCACTGCCTGTCATCCCCCAACTCCTGAAAAACGGTAACCAACCGACATCGGAAAGGCCATAGAACAGCCTTTACCGAACCGATGACCATACCAACTCCCACAGCGCTAGAAATTTAGGATTGTCTTAAACCAGCTGAACTACATAAACGTGGTCCTCCCCGAATCAAGGAGCTTTCTCACCTTTTCCTAAGCTTCTAGCGAATTCTCCAGACATCTTTCTTCGTGCCACCAAACAGAAAACGGAACCAGAAGACTATGTCGGAATTCTCCATAAGCCTCCGCCTTTTCTCTCCACCAGCACCTCGACACCGCTTGGCTCCTCCCTCTTCATTACTATGCCCCGCCTCTCTCCGCTGAAGGCAAAAGAGCTCTGACGCGAGGTGGTCGACCTGAAGTAAACAGCTTGGAGGGCACAGCGGATTGATATCTTACTACCGTGGTAAATACTTCTGGCGTAGTAAGCTCTGGGGTACAGGTGCGGCTTAACTGTAAGGCTCTGCGTAAGAGTACAGATTCCATCTACTATGTAAATATACCTTTGTATGTCAAATACAGAAAGTAAAAGGTACAAGAACAGGGCGGTAAATCCTCTACCCATTTTTATTTTCGCTTTACGTGCGTGGGGGCGACTGCATGTCATTTTCTTAGCAGAATTCAAAACATTCCACATCAGGTTAGACTACAGTATAAGTCATGCCGTGTAAACCCCAGTGACCTGCACCTTATCCTAAGCCCAAACCAAACACCGGGCGTTACGATGCAACATGATGTGTAAATCAAGCAACTTGCCTGATGACATAGGTAGATAGGCAACCAAGGCGCTGCATGTGCAACTATCATCAGCAGCTATATTTTAAATGAAAGTATATTGTAGTGTATTGTTTTTTATTCATGCTGCTGATTATTGTGTTAGAATTATTTCTTACCAGTTTGTTTCTGAGCCGGGATCAAAGAGGCAACCAGCAGTTGCATGAAATTAAGCTCTTTATTTTTCACCCAAGAGCAAAAGCAATGACAGCAAGCTGATAGATGGGCGGCTGCGCTTGACCCCCTCCTTTTGGCACAATATATACATTTCATCCAGCTCCTCCTTCAGAATACTACCCCTTACTCAGTCATTCATTTCCCACCTCAGTATCATTCCATATTAGGAACTTCCTTCCTTTCCAGGCCCCTTGACCATTAACTAAACACTTTTTCCCTAGGAAATACCATCCTTGGAATGTACAGCTTCTTATCTACCAAGGTTAGTGAAAAAGGCCTCCAAACTTACAAACTTGAAGGAAACAGGATTCAGAAACCCTTAATAAAAGCCTAAATGTTTCAATACTAAATGTAAGTATATATATATATGTGTGTGTAAATATTAAATATGAAATATATGTGTATGCAATTATATAAAATCTATCAATTGGATGATTTTTGTTGTTGGGTTTGAGGTTTTTTGGACTCTGGTAATGTGCCCAGAATCTGTGGGGTGGTATACAAATATTTGTGTAAATAAATCAATAAAACTTTTGTCTCATGCATGTCATTTCAAAGTTAAAACCATGCTTTCTGGCTGTGGACACTTAAAATCATGAACAGAAGTAGAGAATAAAAGCAAAAAGATGGTGCACATTCAATCTCCCCTCCTCTCCAAACTCTTGCATTAAAAAGCAAATTAGTAGTAGAAGAAATACACCCCCAAAACAGCTTTTATATCAGTGAAATGCTGATTTTATTGACACACCTCATAACGTACACAATATATTTTAAAGATGTATAACAAATCTGTAACAATAATAAAATAGAAATAAGAGCACATATCTGAGGGTAGGTTTATAAAAGAATTAATGCTTTTTCAGAAAACACCACTCAGCAGTTTTGAAGTATGTTTTCCTCTTATTCCTGGTTTGCAAAGGAACTCAAACCTGGTTGGTTCTAAATTGTAGATCACTGAATTCATTGAGTATTGCACATTGTTGCCAAATAGGGTTTCAAAATATGTTTATCATCAAAAAGATGTTTGCCCTACTCCCACTAATAGCAGCTAAAATTGTCAATACTTTAACAATTTAAACTTGCAACCAGTTTCAAATCTCAGTTTTAGAAAATATTAGCAAAAGAAAACATATCTGAATGTATGGAATTTCCAGATCAAAGGATGACCAAGGTAGATCAGCTTTTCCCAAGCAGGTGCCCACCAGGCCTGTTGGGATTGCAACTCCTAGAATTGCAGGTTGGGAAAAACTATGTTACTGCAAAACATGCTCTAGAAAAGTTGCAGATTCTTTGTGTCATGTTCTCCTGGAATTATTTCCTGCATCATCACCAGATTACTGGAGGAGCACAATTATTTAATCATTTTGGTTCAGCATTTGTTCTGACCATGGAAGACTGAGAGTGGGATCAATTGCAATAAGCCATGGTTTGTTTTATCAAGAAGCATAAACCAACCTATAATTGGCTGGATTCACAGAACATATTAAGCTATTAAACAAAAGAACTTATTTGTGTAAACCATATTTATTAGATTTATTTCCTGCATTTTCCTTCTTGAGCTCAAGGTGGCCTTTCTGTTGTTCCTGTGGTTTGCCTTAGAAGGGAAAACAGGCAGAACTCTTGTTAATTTCACTCATTAATAAAGAAAAAGAAAGAAAGGTCCATCAGTGAACTTGTAATTTTTTTTTTAAATCCAGCATTTCACCAGTCCACCGTGGAGGGAAATAAAGGAAATTCATTGATTCACTTGTCTTCTTTGACCACTACCCTACCATTGGTTTGCTGGTTGCACGTGTGGATAGGAATTGGTGTTTCAGAGCACCATTTATCAGAGATCCAGAAATAACCCATGTAATGAGACCTGCTTCACAAAACATAGCAGGGTTCAAGCTTTAAGTAGACATGTTTCTTTTTTTGGATGCAGACATTCTGAAAATAGCTACGCAGGGCAGAGAGATGTCATCAGAGGAGAGGGGGCATACCAATAGCTCCACAGACTGAGCAACAGAACACAAATATTTCTATATGAAATTATAGAATGACAGAAACTTGGATGGGAGATCATCAAGAAATTCTGGGGCATGGGCAGGGGGAAGGGAAATATGGAAACCATATCCAAGAAAACTACATGGAATGTCCAGGAAACTACCAAGAGGTGATCTGAACTTGAAGGAGACTTGACTTTCATGGGTACGTTATGTAGAAATGAAAAACCCAGCTTCTAATTTATTAGCTTAAAACTTGGACTCTATAAAAATGTTCATGTACAGCAGCACATATGCCCATTTAGGGACAGCTCCATGGAATCCCTAAGCCAAGTATTCCTCTGTTGCTCTCTTTACAGGGAATCTTGGATGAGATTCAATTATCCCATTTAAAAAAAAAAAAATACCCTGGCAGAAAGCACAATGCTTATTTGTTGCTTCTTCTATCTGAAGGGGCCTCTGACCTATCTTCCCAGGTTGCCTGATTCTGTACCTCTGTAACTGAAGATTAATGCTAATCTTGGTGATTGCCACTATTATTTGTATTATATTAATATTATTTATATTAATATTATATTATAAATAATATAATAATGTATACATACATTATTATTTTATTGCATTTTATGCCTATCTTTTACTCATATCTATAATTTTAGGTATATGTGTTTCCATGTAGTGTTTTCTGGCCTGAAGGCCATAATAAGAATTTGTTGTAGCATAATGAGCTTTTAACCTGGTCCCTGGCCTGGGGCAAAAAGATATATCTAAGTTTATATGGCAAGGAAAAAAATCAAGAGTTAAATTTAAAATTCTCCAAGATGCAAAGGAATGAGGCGGATTGGGATTGCCTGATTTTAAATTGTATTTTGCAGCCTGCTGCTTAGTTTGGATGAAAGAGTGGTTGCTTTTGAGAAATAAAAGGATATTAGCATCAGAAGGTCACAATCTGAGGTTTGAGTAGCAAGGCTTTTTATGATATGATAAAATTAATGTAGTTTTTAAAAACCAATATGTTAAGAATGCCATATTGAGAGTATGGAATAAATACAAGCCCAGGCAGTGCCAGAAGATGCCTTTGTTAGTTTCAGCATAAGAAGTGCTTTATAGAACACAAACAGCAGGTAAAAAGAAATGGTTAACATATCAAGATACGTTGTTAATTCAGGAACATGGTAAACTTAAAATGAAATCAAGAGGGATTTAGTTTTCAGTAGTTTTCATATATACAATTAAGAGAAAGGTTTAACTTAGACAAAAAGACAACTGCAATTGAATTATATAAGATGGAATTTGAGACTGCATTGTTTATGTACAAATTATGTACTTGTACAAATTATATACAAATTATGTACAAATTATGTACTTGTACAAATTATAT